ATGACCCAGCTCTACCACTTCTAGGCATCTATCCTGAACAACAGGAACCAGTATACAAGGACATATGCACCTACATGTTTATTGCAGCACTGTACAGGATATGGAAACAACACAGATGAATAGATCCAAAAATTGTGGTATGTATACACAGTGGAATATTATGCAGCCATTAGAAAGGACAAAATAATGGCATTTGCAGGGAAATTGATAGAACTAGAAGAAATCATGTTGAGTGAAGTAAGCCAAGAGTAAAGAGACAAATGGCATGTGGTCTCCCTGATAAGTGGATGTTAAATCCAAAACATAAGGTGATACGACAAAGTTAACAAGACTGGAAAAACAAAGGACCTCCACTCATTTGGTAGAATCACTAAAAACAACTCCATGCTGCTGATCACATATATGGTATATATGTTCATGCCAGAGGGAAACAAGGAGGAGACACAGAAATAGAGGGAATCAGGGAAAAGCATACAACAGTGGGACCTATTAGCTTCAGTGGACATTGATCAAAATGAACTAAGCCAGTCAATGGCAGTGCTGGGAGGGAGGGATTGAGTGGGAAAGAGGGAACACCTCACGCTATGTAAAAGGAAAGATATGTACATATCACCTGAGGTGGAAGAAATAACAGTATTTCAAAGCTCATAGAACTCATAAAATTTATAGACCATGATAGAAAATTTGCTCCCTGAAAGTTAGAATGTGTTTATGACTTTAACTCAGTATCACTATCCCACAGTACTGTGAAGTTTTGGAAATTATTTAACCACTTAATCACGATAAAGAATTTGCAAAAAGAAAGAAAGAAAGAAAGAAGGGGTAAGACATAAGGGATTCTGACATTTTATTGAGAGATGTTTTTAGAAAGGCAAGTTATAATTAGGTTGTGGAGAGTTCAGTTTCATCTATTAAAGGGTCTGAAGCCTGGATTTGATTCTGAATGATTAGAAGTAATTATCACATATGGAATCATTCTGGAAAATTTCATATCATGTTGTGACATTTAACTCAAACATCTATAACACAAGATTTAAAAACCTTTTCTGCTTGACTCAGACATATACTAGATATTGCAAATAAGGGAAACCATGGGACCTATGTTTCTTTGGGCTTGGCTTACTTCACTTAATATAATTTTTTTCCAAGCCTTTCCATTTCCTAACAAATGGGGCAATATCATTCTTTCTGATGGAGGCATAGAATTCCATTGTGTATAATTACCACATTTTCTTGATCCATTCTTCTACTGAGGGGCATCTGGTCAAGCAGAAAAGGTCAGATAAGGTGATGTTAGGGAAATGAACCCTAAGATATGTATTCAAATGTTTTTTTTTTCATAAAATTGTTTCTAAGGCATTTATAAGATTATTTCTTTGTTGCTTTGTATGTCCCTCCCCCACAGTATAATGCCTGTTTTCACTGTATTTGATGTCAGTATAATTTGTGGAGGGGAAGGGGAAAAACAAGTCGTTTAAATAAGGATACAAGTGGACCTGTTGCAACAATGAGAAGTACAAGTTGTTATGTCGAAAATGAACTTTACAACTTTGGTGGGGGGGGGGGGTGGGGACGATTGGGTGGGGGGCGGGGAGAGGATGGGAAGGGATGGGAAAGGGAAACAAAGGAGGAGGCTACAATGCTTGATAAAAATGTACTCATTATGTTGCCCATGTTGTACAGTATTTTCACAATAAAAAATAAATTAAAAAAAAAAAAAGATTTAAAAACCTGAAAAAAAAAGTTTGGGGGTTTAGTCCCCAGTGTTGTAAAAAAGAGAGAGCTAAAGTTCATGTTGATTTTTTCATTAAAACCTAGTTTTCATTTTATTGTATGAACTCATATATGAGTAAACAACCATAGTACCAGAGCGGGTTCCATTTCCCCTGGAACTATACATTATTTTAAAGTGTTTGAGCTCTGAATTTCATTATTCTTGGTTCTTTCATTTACACTAGCCAACTTCCACACTTTTCAATATTCTGATCTGTGAGGGCAAAAACAATGGCAACTATTTTTCTTAAGTTGTGAGCATTTAGAGTTAATACACATAAGACAATGGGCACACTGTCTGCCATAGGAATCCATTAGGGCAAGGTGAGTGAGAATGAAGGAGAATGGGGCAAGAGCCGGGTACATTTGTGGTAATTCCAGTAGTTGAGACAACAGAGAAACTTGTGAGAATGCATTCTCCATTGTTTATAGTAAAAACTTTATGTCTGCAATGCAACGGGGTAAATGGGTAACATCCCTAAGTATAACAATGGTACCCTGTTAACATCATCCTTCCAAAACCAATTATATCAGAAGGAAATAATAATAAGTGGTGATATTTAATGCTAAAGTTTTAAGACTTTCAGCATGAGCAATATTTTTATTTATTTTTATTTATTTTTTTATTTTTTTTGGGGTCCGGTCATGGGGCCTGAACTCTGGGCCTGGGCGCTGTCCCTCAGCTCTTCAGCTCAAGGCTAGTGCTCTACCACTTAAGCCACACTGCCACTTCCGGCTTTTTTCTTTTTGCTTATGTGGTGCTGAGGAATCAAACCCAGGGCCTCGAGCATGCAAGGCAAGCACTCTACCACTGAGCCACCTTCCCAGCCCCCATGAGCAATATTTTTAATATAGAAATAGCATAGAGTTGACCAATAAATACCTAAATTCTAGATAAAGCTCTTACATATTTGATGCTTATTCTAGAATTCTATTAAATGTGATAAAGGTTGTGTTAATATGTATTCCATGTGACACAAAATATCCTTTAATTTTCATAATAGAAGCAAATATATTAAAATATTTTCCCCCTAACCTATGTAATTTTAGTCACACACATACATGCATAATATTGAACAACATGGCTAGTATATTCATTGTTGCTGTTAATTTTATTTTGTTTTTGTTGCAGGGGGCGGTTGAACCTAGGGCTTCATATATGCTAAGCATGTGTTCTTCAATGAGTGCTCATGTACTCTACATATCTTTTCCTAATCAGGAAACAGTTATATACAATGATCCAATTATTAAAATGCATAGTAAATATGATCTTAATATGTAACTTATTTATTTTGCTACTCTTAGACTGAATGATTGAAAATCTGATTTTGAAATGTCACTTATTTTGTTAATGGATTTTCTTTAAATCGATATTCTCATTCTTTTCATTTTGTGAATTCTGGTTTCTTCTTTAAATGGGAATATGACACTTTTGAAAATAATTAAGATAGATATACTTTCTCCAACTTCTTTTCTAATGAGGATATACTAATATATATTAGATATATATGTGTAATGCTAATATATATATTTGCTTTGTACACAATATTTCACCCATAGCAATGTGTCTCATGCATATGAATATTCTAGACTTATTGAAGATGCTAATTTATTGGCTCTTTCCTTGGGAATTCTGATTTTGTATATTTGAGATTGAGGCTGAGAATGTATGTATACTTTCTTAAGAAACCTCGTGTGAATCTGATATAGGTGGTCTAAAGATAATTTTAAAAAATGTCTAGACTTTATACTCTAGTTGTTATCAACACAATCTTCAAATTTTAATAAAGAATCAATTTGTTACTAAAAACAAAAGAGCCAAGGATCTTTTCAAGCCTGGTGCCCCAGGAAAGCTCAACCTCCATCCTCACGACTGACAGAACAGGAGCTGGCCAGTACCAGGTTCTGTCCCTGAGGAAATAAGCAAGGAACCCACACCTGTCCTGAAGATACTCAAGTGAAGGAGGGAAAGGATGGGCTCATCATAGACTGTCATATGACCTTGGGAAAATCAATGCCCAGAGCTCACAATTATCCAACTTGTGCATCTTATTGGACCAAACCTCTAAGGACTTCCAAACATAAATGGAAGAAGAAGAGAAGAAACAGGAACACCCACAATATTTGGGGGAGGGTTTTTTTAAGCTACTCTGGGAAAAAATAGTGTGTTTTTCCTTCTACTGCTTTATTTTCTGCTTACATTTTTAAAGATCCAGTTTATTTAATCTCTTCTTGTATTGGACTAAATTTCACATCATAAAAGTGTTAATGTTTTACAATGAGTTATGACAAAGTAAACGAGACCCAAGAATCAAGGGATCTGTTCTTAATTTGTCATGTACTTTCTAAATGACTCTATATTCTGTACCCCATATATGGTGTGTAGACATGCACATCTGAGGGAAGCTAGGAGGAGGGAAAAGAACTATAGGAAAATGGGTGAATAAAGTAGGCAGAGGGGCTCATCAGCTGCACTGGTTATTGATGAAAGTGAACCAAGCAAATCATGAGTGATGATGGGAGGGAGGGAATGAGAGAGAACGAGGAAACAACTGATACTAAGCAAAAGGAAAGAAATGTACATATCGTCCAATTTGGAAGAAACAGTTTTATTGTTAAAGTCTATAGAGTTCATAAGCTTTGTAGATCAAGACAATGACAAGATGAATTTTGAAAGTTAAAAGGTGTTAGTGACTTGAGCTAAGTATCACTATGCCACAATACTGTGAAATTTATGTATTTACTTAATCTCAATAAAGAAAATGTGTTACTGTTTTAAAATACTGACTAAAACCTTGAGTAATGTGTATTAAATTTACACATTCTTGTGTAAATCTGTTATTAAATTCATTATGAATTTAAATATTATACACATAATATTTTTTAAGTCAAACACCAGTGGCACCCTTAGAAGGCTGGGATCTGAGGATCACAGATCAAAACTAGCCTGGACAGAAAAGCTTATGAGACTCCATCTGTAACTTACAAGTTAAAATATGACACTAGAGGTATTTCTCAAATGGTTAAGTGATACTTGTGAATAAGAAAGCCAAGAATGGGAGCTGGGGCCCTCAATTCCATGGTTGATACACATACTCACAGACACACACACACACACACACACACACCTTTAACATATTGACAATATAAATTGATTTTTTAATTCCCTTTCTTCCCACCACCCAACTCTGAAAAACGTCAGTCTTGTATTTAAACTTTAAAAAAAATAAAAGTTATGTCTTTTCTCACCATGTTCTGTGAGTGCCACTGTGGGCAGTACCAATGATGACAAAGGCTCAGCAGATATGAAGAGAAAAAAAAGATGGGAGAGAGAAAAAGACAGAAAGAGAGAGAGAGAGAGAGAGACCCAATATATTAAAGTCACACAATCATTAAATGAAAACCAAGCCAATATGTGTGAGTAGAAAAAGAGAAGCTTACTCGGGCAGGTAAGAAACCCCAACAGGGAGAAGGGCCAGAACAGCAGTAATAGACTATGGGTCCTTCCCATGCCCCCTGGGCCTGCTGCTCAGGATCTGTGTGAGTTGGTGTTGCTGAACCTTCGCCCAGATACAGGCAAGGCCCTGCAGTATTTCAGAGCCATGTGTAGCCCCTCATAGTCAAGACCCAGGTCTCCTTCTTGATGATGCTCAATGCCTCATTCCCCAAGGGATGTTGAGAGTATCCTTCCCCTTCCAGAGCAGGATCCTGAGACACAGCTTCCTGAGAGGGGCCAATCTATGTGCAGGAGCTGGGCATCTAGGACACACTGCTTGTCATGTCTGGGGATGGCTTGATGCACAGCACAAGGCCTTGTGCCTAGTTGGTTAGCCTATAGGGGTGGATCTGGAAGCTCCCCGAGGCAGAAGCCGAACTCCTGCTCTAACAGGTGGTGAACGGCTCATGGACCAACCAGACTGGAATATTGTGATCTGGAAATCTCTGGGTACCTTCCCAGGTGCATCTGGAAATGTACTGGTAGCTTCTACTAGCCAAAGGGATAGGAGGTAGATCTTAGAGAGCATCAAAAGCAAGAATATTGGCTTGAGTTTCACAGTTTTCTTATTTTTTTTCTTTTACTTTGCCACTTCTTGCCAATACTAACCCATCCAAACTCATATTTTCCTTCTTTTTGTTCCTAAAAGATTCCTTTGCTAAAACAATTGTGGAGTGTGTGTTCAGATTTTCTACTTTATTATAGATATAGTTCAGATAGATAATGTGCAATTTTTTCTACATACATATTTTTCCCATTGTGGTTTTCTTTAAGGGACAAAGAAAACAAATAGCACCTATGATTAAATTTTCCTGGCTTTATTTCTTCAAAATTTAGGAATGAGACAAGGATGTCCACTCTCTCCACTAATCTTCAACTTAGTATTGGAATGCCTAGCTGTGGCAATAAGACAAGATGCAAATATAAAGGGGATAGAATTTGGGAAAGATGAAGTATAACTCTACCTCTTTGCAGATGACATGATCTTGTATTTAAAGAAGCCCATGGACTACACTCCCAAATTACATGAGCTGATTGGAAACTTTGGCAAAACACCAGGATATAAAATTAACCCTCAGAAATCAATGGCTTTCCTGTATGCCATAATAAGAAGAGCGCAGCTGAAATGAGGAAAGCAACCCCTCCCCTTTTTGTAGGTTTTTTATTGTAAAAATATTTTACAGAGGGGTTACAGTTACATGAACAAGGTAATAAATACAATTCCTATCGAGCACTGTTGCTTCCTCCTCTGTTTCTCCCCTATCATCCCTTCCCTCCCACCTCCAAAACTACTCCCCCCCCCCCACCGCTGGAGTTGTAAAGTTTTTTTCAACAAAGTGTCTTGGACATCTCATTGATACAATGAGTCAACCTGTATCCCTATTTAAGCATTTTGTATTTTCCCTTCCCCTCCCCAAATTAGAGAAATGTATATACAAGATGCAGGGCACTGACATCAAATAAGTGATAACAGGGGTTATACCGTGGGGGAGGAACATACAAAGAAACAAAAAAATCACATGGTACATTATAAATAGATTAGAAACAATAGCAAGAAAAAAATATTTGTGTCCCTATCTTGGGGTTCATTTTGCTTAACATCATCTTATATGGTGATATGTACATTGCTTTTGACCTTTTCTACTTGTCCTACACATGTACTAGTTATTGAAAATAAGGGAAAGCATGGGACCTATGTTTCTTTGGGCCTGGCTTACTTCACTTAATATAATTTTTTCCAAGTCTTTCCATTTCCTAACCAATGGGGCGAAGTCATTCTTTCTGATGGAGGCATAGAATTCCATTGCATTTTCTTGATCCATTCTTCTACTTACGGGCATCTGGGTTGGTTCTATTTCTTAGCTATGGTTAAAAATGTTGCAATAAACATAGTTGTACTGGGAGCCCTAGTATGATCTTGTTTGTGATCATTTGGGCAAATGGCCAAAAGTGGGAATGCTGGGTTATAGGGCAGCTCTATGTGGAGTCTTTGAGGAACCTCCCTTTTGTAATAACACCACAAAAAATATAAATACTTAGTAGTTTACTAAAGAGGTGAAGGACCTGAATGAAGAACACTTTAAAAACCTGAAAACGAAAATCTAAGTAGAACTAAGCAAGTGGAAAAACCTCCCATGCTCCTGGATTGGGAAGATTAACATTGTGAAAAGGGCAATACTCCCAAAGGCTATCTACAATTTTAATGCCATACTTATCAATATTCCAACCTCATTCTTCAACGAAATAGAAGAAATAATCCAAAAATTCAGATGGAACAATAGAAGACCCAAATAGCAAAAACAATCCTTAGTAGAAAGAACAGAGCTGTAGGAATATCAATTCCAAATCTCAAACTCCACTACAAAGCCATAGTAAACAAAACAGCTTGTTACTGGCACAAGAACGGACCTAAGGACCAATGGAATAGGAATGCAGACCCAGAAATGAACCCACAGACCTATATCCACCTAATCTTGGACAGGAGAGCTAAAAAATAAAATGGAAGAAAGACAGCCTCTTCAGTAAATGGTACTGGCCAAATTGGTTAAACACAAGTAGGAAACTGAAGCTATATCCGTATATATCACCCTGCCCCAGAATCAACTCCAAATGTATCAAAGACCTTGAAGTCAAAGCAGACATCATGAAAAAATTATAGGAAGGAATAGAAGAAACTCTTGAGCTCCTTGGCACAGGCAAAAATTTTCTTAATAGACACCCAGAAACACAACAAATCAAAGAAAGTTTGGACAAATGGGATTGTATGAAACTGCAGAGCTCAGCAAAGGACATAGCTAGCAAGATCAACAGAAAGCCCATGGTCTAGGAGAAGATCGTCACTAGCCATAAAATGGAGAAGGCTCTCATATCTAAAATATAGTTAGTACTCAAAAAATGAAATACCCCACAGCAAATCCTCAAATCAACAACTGCCCAATTAATAAGTGATCTAAAGTCTTAAAGAGAGAATTCTCTGAAGAGGAAATAAAAATGGCCAATAGACACAGGAAGAAATGACCATCTTCTCTAGCCATAAAAGAAATGCAAATCAAGAAAACATTGAGATCCCACCTCACCCCAGTTAGAATTGGTATAATCAAGAAAATCTAGTAACAACAGATGCTGAGGGCATGTGGCCATAAAGGAATCCTTCTACACTGTTGGTGGGCATGTAAACTTGGGCAACCACTTTGGAAAGCAGCATGGAGATTCCTCAAAAGACTCCACATAGAGCTCCCCTATGATCCAGCAATCCCACTTTTGGCCATTTACCCAAATGATCACAAACAAGGTCATACCAAAGCTACCAGCACAACCATATTTATCTCAACATAATTCACCATAGCTAAGATATGGAACCACCCCAGATCCCCAAAGTAGATGGATGGACCAAGAAAATGTGGTGTATATATATACACAATGGAATTCTATGCCTCAATCAGAAAGAATTATATTGTACCATTTGTTAGGAAATGGAAACATTTGGACAAAATTTATGTTGTGAAGTAAGCCAGACCCAAAGAAACATAGGTCCTATGGTTTCCCCTGATTGCAATGACTAGTACATGTCTAGGACAAGAAGAGAAGTTCAAAGGCTATGTACATATGATCATATGAGATGATGTGAAGTGAAATGTACCCCAAGACAGGGACACAAATGTTTTTTTCTTTCTTGCTATTGTTTTTAATGTACTTATAATGCACTATGTGATTCCTTTGTTTCTTTTGTGTGTTCTTCCCCCACAGCATAACCTCTGTTTTCACTGTAATTGATTGTAGTGTTCAGCATCTTGTGTACACATTTTTGTAATTTGGGGAGGGGAAGGGATATAGCAGAATACTTAAATGGGGATGTAGCAGAATGCTTAAATGGGGATGCAGGATGACCCATTGTGACGATGATATCTACAGGACACTATGTTGAAAATGAACTTCACAATGTTGGGGGCAAGTGGGGGGGGGAAGTTGGCAGGTGGTGAGGGAAGGGATGGTAGGTGGAAAACAAAGGAGGAAGTAACAATGATTGATAGGTATTGTACTCATTACCTTACTCGTGCAAATCTAAACCCTCTGTACAGGATTTTACAATAAAATATACATAATTTTTTTCCTGGCTTTGATTAGATATTTACTTCAATGTAAAACCTAAATTATATTGCTCAATTGCTTTTCTTTGGTCAGTCAGAGGACTTGAACTCTGGGCCTAGGTGCTTTCCCTAAGCTCAAGGAAAGCACTCCACCAGTTGAACCACAGCACCACTTCAGGTTTTCTGAGTGGTTTATTGGAGATTAGAGTCTCAGGATGTTTCTTACCTAGGCCGGCTTTGAACCTCAATCCTCAGATCTCAGCCTCCTGAGTAGGTAGGATTATAAGCATGAGCCACAGGTGCCTGGCTATTGCTCAATTCTTTACTTGCTAAAAGGCCAATGTATGATTCTTTTTACCTAAAACTTGTTTTCTTTCAAATACTATCTGATGAAAGTTAGAAGAGTGATGTGTAAAGTGATGCAGTTAGATGCATTTTGAAAACAGAAAAAGAAATGGTCTGAGATCCCTCAAGTTTGTTAAGTTTGGACTCAGTGCAATGTCAGTCTATATGTGATTCTCCTGTTCTCCCTACTTTAAAACCAAATTGCAAATATTAATTTACAGCCAGTTAGTCTAAGTTTAATTACTTTACATTTTTTATTGTGAAAATACCGTACAGAGGGGTTACAATTACATGGGCAAGGTAATGAGTACATTTCTTATCAATCATTGTTTCCTCCTCCTTTGTTTTCCATTTTAAAAAATGTCATTTTGAGATCAAATGTTT